GCCCCCAGGGGGGCAGTGGGGGGCCCCACTCTGCTGCTATGGATTTGCTCCAGATAACAGGGCAGGCACCTGTGTCTTGGGGACCGCCTTTGATTCTTTGGGGTCTGGGCCCACGATGGGGCGGCCGAGTCACACAGTCACCCCAGTTTTAATTTGTCGAGGAAACTCCACACTGTCCACAGTGCCCCGTTTTACCCGCCCCCACCCCGAGCTCCCCCCGACCTCATGTGCTCATGCGCTCCACTTGCTGCTGCTTTCTGGGCCACCCCAAAGGGTCGTGACTGTGCTGCTCAGCGGCCTGCACATCTGTATTCATGTGTGTATGTGTCTATTTAGTGGAGCACTGGGGTGCACGCAGAGGTGTGGGGTGAGAGGACTCCCCCGACACAGAGTGGGGAGCAGAACAGGCGGGTCCACTGACGCCCACTGTCTGCGGCTCCTGGTGCCCGGCACCCCAACAGGCTCCCGGCCCTGGCTGGCGCCGGCTCCCAGCTTGCGCCACAGGAGGCCCCTTTCTGGTTTTTCGGGGGTTACCTTAGGGCACAGCTAATCTGAATTCGTAGTAACTCAGCCTTAGCCATGAAAGCTCTGCTCCCTTTGGCCCCGCCGCCCCCTTTCCGCGGCCGAAGTCACGCGACTGCATCTTTCCACGCGCTGGAACAACAGCAGACAACTCCTGGGTCTCCCGAATTATCTGCGACACAAGCCTGGAGGCGCAGCTGGGCCGACGGGCGCCCCCAAGACGGCTGTTCCCGCGCGGCCTCCAGCCCTGCTGTGTCCTCTGTCACCCGAAGACCCCTCGAACGCGTCGGGGGCCCAGAGCCCAGCGGCCTCTGTTCACGGGGAGTGTTCCGGCTCCCCCGCTTCAAAGGGCAGCTGTACCTGGGGGTTCCTGCCCGGCAGCTGTTTGTTCTGGTGCATTTAACACGCTCGCGCCCTGCCTCCCGCCCGAGCTCTCCGGGAAATCCGCCGATTTTCTTGCCGAGGACAGCGCGGCCGAGATGGGCTCTGCTGGTTTCACGCTCAGCCCTTGGCGCTGAGCCCTTGGCCGCGATGGTCTCGGCCGGGCCCTTCGTCCACCTCGGCTGCAGTCGCTGAGCTTTGCCGATCCCAGCGCCGCCCCTCGGCCAGTTTTCCCGCACTGTCTCTTCGGAAGCCCTCGCCGCCCCTTCTTCTTCCCTCGGGGCTCCCAGCGTCTGGGGCCGCTGAGTGGAACCCCCGGGTCCGCTTTCTCCCGGACCCCGCGCGTGTTTCTCTGACCCGCCAGCGCCCGTCTCACTGGCTGCAGCCTCGAGCCGCCCGCTCGAGCCGCCGGCGGCCCCGGGG